TAATGTTAAATTTTGTAATCAAATTACCTCGTTTCCTACTCCGCAACCTGCTGCTAACTTTATTACTTTTTCTGAATCTTTTTACTGGTGGGCTAAGAGCACACTTACATACATAAATCACCAAGAACGTCATGCTCTGTGTACATATGTATATATGTATGTACCTACGAACATTGTCATCGTCTCGTGTTTCACAAAGTGCGGTGGCCTTGTCAAGTCTCCACTTAAAAATGATCACTCGAATGTGACTCGCTGTATCTTAGATCAATTCAATTAATGACTAAATTCAATTGAACAATTGACGACGGAAAACTAAACTCATACGCACGTTCTCGACCTTATAACGAGTTCAAAAGGGTTAAATTGGTTATTGACAATGAGAAAGGGTGTTAAAAAAGCAGAAAAGTGTCGTAGATTGTGAAAAATTCTAAACAATAAGCACATTGTAGAAGAATGCATGTAAGTGATTGGCGGACTTATAAATACACATACATAAATATAAAATAAAGTTCCTATAATTGAAAGTTTTATATTTAAAAAAAAAATACCAACTTTTTACAATGTATGTTGAAAGTTGTACTGTCAAGTGCATGTTGATAAGTATGTATGTACATATATACTAAATACATATATATAAGTAAATGTCTGTATGTATACACATATATACGCACGCTTCCACTTACAAAACAGATAATAGCCAGTTGATAAATATATTTATAGTAAACTAAAAATATTTTTATATTCATACCCTTACATTTTTACTGTACATACATACGTTTATATGTAGTAAGATTTGTCAATTCATACAAATGTACTTAGATATGGAAACGTTGCACGCAATCAAAGAGAGATCAAGGAAAAAGTAAATGTCGAAGGAAAATATGAAAGTAAACAAGTACATACATTCACAGACATACCTACATATGTATAGCTACATATACCCGTCCGTACACACTCGTATGTGCTTCCTTATAGGGGTCAATTAAGCCAATTTAAATTTAATAAATACGACAATTATTAAATAGAATATGTATTACCGCACCGTTCATATGCGAGTTATAGGGTGTGTAGTTAAAAAACTGCATATGTTCGTATGTATAAACGTTTGTATATAAGGATGGTTCTTAAAAAATCTATTAAACGATTTTTTTCAGTCCCACCCCCTCAATAGGTATTACCACGGTCACAGACATTACATATAAATGTGGGTCTCGATTGGAGAAGGTTAAGGCGTCTTGCATAGGAGCCAAAGTACAAAGTGCAAGGAAGTCTCGATTTTGGGTATTAGATGAAAAAAAAAATTAATTTAAATTATTTGAGTCTCCATAGAGGAATTTGAATTTTGCCCCTTATGCGACACGCTTAAACTAGCCGGGACCAAAATTCATATGTGATATCTTCGACTGTAGTAACATCGACGTAGGGGTTGCGGCTTAGGAAATCGGATGTGAAAATTTGCTTCCTACATTTAAGGGCCACCCTAATGTACGCACACATCTAACTACATACATATGTGCACGACAATATAGTTTGTAGTATACTGCGTTTTTTGCACTTATCTCTTTCGCTTGTTTGCCTCATTCAACTGCATGCTGAATTGTTCGCTCTTGAGAACTTCAAATTTAGATGAGAAGGAAACCATCACTTTGTCTACAATTCGTCTTGAACGAAGTTCTTCTTCTCGAACACTTACATACTTTCGATTGCCTATGTTGTAATTCACGATAATTTATTCCAGTACATACATACCTCGTGGGAAGGAGAAATCAACGGATACTGAAAACAAGAAATTCTTTAATATTAATTTATACTGGCATTTTTACGTAGTATATACATAAGTATGTGCAATGAAGTTTTGCAATTAATATTTTGTGTCTAGAAAATGTATACTCAATGCATCCGGTTTACTACGGTTATTTGATAAAGGCTTAATATATGTAGGTACATTAGACTGCATCATGAAAAAAAGTTGCGGCTTTCCGCCGAAAAATATTAAGATTTACGTGAGCTGCGCCGATTTGAAAATACCCTAAAAAATGTAGTTTTTTTTTATAAAAAAAAATAGTTTCTTAAAGCATTGTTTTAAAAAATCCCCTCGGTGGCAAAACTGTTTAAGCTTAAAAATATTAAAAATTTTTTCAATGGAATCATAATAATGAGATTGCTGGTTTAACGGTTTAACTGGATCAAAATTAAACCGATTTAGACTTATGAGGTATCAGTGGAAATGCATTCGCCCTTTTCGTTTCTTTGCAAAACAACTCATTCATGTCTAAGTTTTTATTTTTTCAAATATCAACAAATCTTAATTAAACTTGGAATGACGCTCGTTCATCTTACCTTTCTCTTTTATACTTTGCATCAAATTATTTATAAAAACTATTTTTATTCATAAAGTACTGCATTTTTGGAGATATTTTCAAATCGGTCCAGCTCACGTAAATCTTAATATTTTGCCGAAATGTTGTGGTAACAATTGTAAAACATAATGGGTTTTATAATTACAATGGAAAATATTACTGTGTTTTAAGGTGGTTGTTCCTCCTGAGGTCGTCCTGCGTGAATTCGCGACGCATGCACTCAAAGCTGTTCATTAACTTGAACGCATTGCTTCGGTTTTTGATTTGCACTACTAATCGCCACTCTTTCTTAATTGCGGTTGCGTAAGGTGATCTGCCTTATCCTGAGTTTCGTCCGCAAAAAAATTCACCAGAAAATTTGTATTCCGCCCAAAGTAAATATATGGAAACCAAAATTGAAAAGTGAGCCGGTTCGGGGAAAACGAAACTCATTTTAAGGCTGAATGTTTCAAATTCTGATAGACGAATGTGTTACTAACACTGAAAGTACAATGTCGAAAAATTTAAACTATCTTCGAAGCAATCGAATCATATTCGCCATAACTTGGGTATCGCCCGAAATTTTTTCATCCGCCCGTAGTAAGTACACGGAAACGAAAATTGAAAAGTGAACCAGTTCGAGGAAAATGAAACTCATGATTTTATAGTTTTAATTAAAATTTCATCATACAAACTGTATCCAATCCGGCAACTGTAAATGGAACCGGTAATAATTTGCACGGAATCGAACCTAACCTAGCCAACGTAATTGTTTAGAATTGATAAAATTTTAATCCTCGGAAACCATTTCAGTTATAATAGTTATTAGGATCAAGATTAAAGAAATCAAAATTTTTGTGTACAAAATTTATGGACAATCAATTTCTGAAATTTTCTATTCGGAATTTTTTTTTTCAGTTTTCCTTGGGTATTACGCAGATTTGTTTTGTACGTACATATACATACTGCAAATCATTAAATTTTTATTCCCAAAAAATTGTATTTCATATTTATTTTTCTTTTGCTGAAAATATAATTTTTAACAAATGCACTTTTTTTTAAATATCACACAGACTTTGAAAGCTTACATTTTTTATCCACTAAGCAGATTTTCCAGCTGAAATATTTTCAACGCGGTTCAGCTCAAGAATGACATGGGTTACAGAGATTTACATATCGTCGTTTAAAGTACAAAAGCGCGTATCAACAAAATGCAAAACCGCGTATGTGAGGTTTCATAAATTATTTTCTACCGAGTAAAAACAGTCATTTAAAAATGGTTCTCTTTTTGTATAAAACAGTCGCATTTCTGACTAGAATATTTCAGGACGAATGGATAAGGCTTTTGCCAAGTGCTCGTGTGAGCAAATCCAAGTTTTGGCAAAAAATGGCAGTTACGCGGTTTTGTACTTTAAACCAGTGGCATACTAACACATTCAAATGATTCAATATGTGAGACTGTGTACGTTAAATGTACCCTGCAGTAAATTGTGATAGTTCAGAACTAGCGTAGAACTAGCTCTTTAAGAGGCGGTACTGGTTCTCAATCTATCCTAACGCAATTATTTCATCTGTCTCTTTTTACATGGCGATGCTCAACGAGGTGGAAATTGCCACCTCTGCAGAATTTTTGAACTAGTTCTGAACTGGTACCATTTTGCGCAGATCAGCGACAATAATGTTTTTTTAAGAAAAAAATTTTGATTAATAGATTTTTTAGAATTTTGTTTAATTATTTCTGTTCTTTCACAGATTGCATTTAATTAAATTTTTTACTCCTTTATTTTATTTATATTAAATTTTATCATTCTCTTCCAATTTTTAAGCGGTACTAAACAAATTAAATTTATTAAATCTAAAAATCACGACTGCCTTCACCGCGATTTGAACTCGCGACTAACGATGTTAGAGTCGAAGGTCTTCCCGCGGAGCTGCTATTTTGTTATTGTACGAGAAGTGAGAATTTGTGCATTTACTTCTCAACAGAGCGCAACTAGCACACCAAAGGTTTCAACTGTCCCTCTCTGCAGCCGTTTTGCACTAGTTCAGAGATAGTTCTGAAATGTATAGGGCGGAACTACCGCTTTAACATACTGCCCACATCTTTTACTGCCGGGGCACTGCTCAGCTGAGGCTCGCTTTTGATGAGTACGAGTGGACAGTTTTTTGGCTCTGCTTCGGATTCATCAATAGATGTTTCGGCCTTTACCAACTCATCAGTCATTTCCGTGTATGTTTCTATGGATATCTAAGAAAATGCATGATTTTCGTATTCATATGCAGTTTCTCTCTAGTGCTCTGCCAATTTTTAATTTTTTTCTCTAGTAGTGCACCTTTTGAAGAACGTGTGCGATATGTTCACTTCACTGCACATGCATATTTACCTATATATGTGGGTTTATTATTTAACCCCTGTTCATATTTCGTATTACTTTGCTTTTTTAATATATTTATTATTGCCTATTCCGCTGTAAATGAGATATTAATGTGACAACTCTTCTTACAGGTGAATTCCGAAATTCAACTATTGTGGGGGGCAGGCGCAGGCTTAAGGATCATTATGTGTGTACCCCCGGGTGTGCCGAATATTTTTTACGTTCGTCTTCGCTTAGCATGGCTGCAGATTACTAAAATCTTCAAGTGCAAAATTCAGATGATATCTTAAGACGAAATCATACAATTGAAAGTGAAAGTGAAGGAAGCTTAAATATCTTAAAGGCTAATATTTTGATGGCAGAAGATCAAGTGAATATTGAAAATTAAATGTGTCGCCGACTCTCTACACGAATATCACTTTTCTAAGTACTAGTGCCGCAGGAGATAGTTTAATCGACATATAGTAGACCCCTGCTGCCCCAGTGCTTATCAAAGTGATTCTAGTGACAACTATTTAACTATTTAAAAGCAGCTTCAATCTAAAAAAAAAAATTGCTTAAAAAGAAAATAAATTAATTCAAATATGACGAAAGATAAAAAGTGGATTAAAATGTGTAACAGTGAAAACTAAGGCCCAATTTCAGATGAGCAATTTAAGTGCCGATTGATGATTAGATATTCATTTTCGGATCAAATATTTAAACTGTATTTACATGCCCAATGTCGGCTATTTAAAAATGTAAAATGCACACTCGCTTCTCGACTAAATAGCAACTGATAACTCAAAATAAAACCAAAATAATTATATAAAAAGCAAAAGTGATTGAAATTAAAAATTAAAATAAATTCGAGTGACCAAAGTGACATGGAATGCGCGATTCTATAGCCCGTCATTACAACTCGACGTCCACGGTCTATAAAAGGTGCGCCAATTCGTTTCAGAGACTTCGGCGAAAAGGATTTGCGGGACAGATTCAGTGGAATCAAAGCGACAGTATGGGTGGTGTAGACGATGATACCGGATAAAATTTAACATAAAAAACATGGTAAATCGGATTTAGAGAAATTTTGTAATGCTTCTAATTAATTTTGCTCTAGGAATAATGCTCTAGCTCCCGAAGAAATGCTTCAGCTGACTTTGCGATTCCATGCCACGGGTTGCATGTAAAGGACTGGAGGGGACTTAATCGGAGTTTCTCTCAGCACTGCTTCCCAAGTTATAAGGTTAGTTTCGAACCATATAGCTTTACTACGAGCGCAGTTTATTTCATTTCTGACAAAACGGCCGAAGAGCTAAGATAGATAAGTAAGAAAAATTTTATTTGGTAGGGATACTTTCTCGCTTCCAAGCGACTTTAGACTGAACGCATGTAAATATATTATCACAAGATCAGTATCAGAGCATAAAAATTAATAACCAAAAACATAAAAATAAAATAGTTTTGAAATGCTTTATATGTACATAAATGGAAAAGTTCCTTATTTAGACTGATGTATAAATGTACTTTTTATAGGCGGCCATGATGCGGAGTTATACCGCAAAGTCCAAAGAACTGACCTTATTCAACAGCGTCTGAAATATATTGGATGGAGTACAAACGATGCCACAATACTTCGTAACTCGCGTATTTATATGCGCTTCGAACGGGTGAATTCGGGAATTCAATGGTTGTAGCAGACAACGGTCTTCCCTGTAATCACTGGATAATGACAACGATATTCAATGTTCGTACTCCAGTAGAGGCGCTGTACGCTGTGCGAATCCCAGACTCGAACGAGGTAAAGTTTTGAGCAGTCCTAAGGCGTGTGGAAACGAAGATTTCCGGTCCTTTCGGTGGGTATAAAGCTGAATATCCAGCGTGTAGAAAGCTTTAATATGGCGCCACCTATTTCGGAAGAAATTCGCGCTCACATAAATGCTGTTTTAAATATGCCATCTATTTCAATTAACAAAAATAGTACGATTAATATTAGCAGATAATCAGTTAGTAATCACTTTGAAAATTTCTAGAGTAAATATAGTATCAGTTGAATTTACTGTGAATGGGTAAAATCCTAAATGGGCTATTACACGATTTTCGTGAAACTGGTGAAATCGGTGCTCTACTAAATATGTGAGAAAAATTTTCTCTCAAAATTTTTTTTAATAAATTCAAAATCTAAGAAGATACAAAAATTTTATAGCTGGAAAATGATGTTGTATTTTCTGTCAATTCCTGTTAATTACTCCGCTTTGATATATAATTTATTAGTATTTTTTAACCCCTTATAAATTCACATAAAAAAAAAATTATGGAGACTAATATTATGTCACGGGATAATGGGGATTTTGTAAAACTGTTCGTGTTTTAACTTTGTTTTCTTTCAAAGTATATTTTTTTTAACGAAAAAATTTTTAAATTTTATAAAACTCCAGGCATAATTGACCAAAATACAAAAAAATTAACTTTAAACATCAAAGTGGCGTTTCTTATACAATTTTTAATTTTTTGAAATTAATTTTTACGGAAACATTGTCTCATATAGTAGAGCAAAGATTTCACGAAATTCACCAAGATGCTTATATTTCTGACATACGATATTAGCTTCCGTTTTTTTGTAAGCGAACGACAAAAACACGCTCAACTCGGGTAAAATTTCCTTTTAGCTACTTAAGCAAGCATGCTGGTAGCTGGCAAGAAACATGTGATTAGTTCAACGGGATTTAGACACAAAAAATAATATAAATTAGTAATTATGCTTAATATATACACTTACATATTTAAAATATAAATCATGTATATACGAAAACAAAAATTTCCCTCTCCACTTTCCCATTGACAATTCACAATAGAGCAGTTTTTTCACTTAACAACACTAGTCTTCAGGTCGCGTATGTTTTAACCGACCTGGCTGAACTCGTATAAATAGCCGAGTTTGTGTTGTTGCTTTGCGTGTGTTCCGTCATTTAAGTGAGTGTTCTTTTGTAGCTCGGTTGCAAAAGAATGGACCTATTATTTGTCATATTTCTGTGGTATTTGCATCACTTATTGCCTGTTTCACGGCGGAAATTTAATGAAAAATAATTTTTTTTCCTGAAAGTTTCCATATTAAATACAAATAAAAATTATAATTTTTTACTTAAATTGCTTTCCTGAAACTGTGCGACAAAACCTAAACATTTTTAAAACATAAGAAAAAATCAATATATTCACCAAATTAGGAGCCAATATATAGTATGACTGCGTTTTTAATTTTTCCCTCTAACGTCAGGATTTTTTTTAAGAGGAGTTTGAAATTTTCAGGATATGATTGAATAAAAAAATTATTTAAAAGATTTGGTGCATTGTAGAGTAACAATATGGGTATCACTTAAAAGGAAAAATTCTGTAGAATTAAAAAAAATTAATTTTTTCTTGCACCAGGACGAATAAATGTTGAAAATGTCCTTTTAAAATTTTATACTTGAATATCCTTTGAAATTTGCAATATTTATTTTCGAAAAAAATGTATGCCAAGCAAGGCCGTATTTAGGGGGGGGGCGATGTTGGGTTCTGTCCACTTGCAAAGGCGCTATGTAAATTTTTTTAGATTTTTAGTTTTTGGTTAGTAACGTACCAGTATTTAAAGTAGTTTCATGTCCAGTAACAATACAGTCAAAATCTTTCTATTTTCTTAAAAAATCGAATCAGATGTTAACTACTATTGCAAAGGTCGCTATAATACTTATTTATACACTTTCAAAAGTCTCCATCTTCTGATGAACTTAGAAAACTGCAAGAAAACGTGGTAGTTTCGGTGCCTAGTGGAAGGCGTCGTAAAAAGGAAGCAGACCAATCTTCATGGAAGAGCGAACGCGATAAGCAAAAAAAGATAGCTATGTAAAAGTTACTATTTCAAAACTCGCTATATTCAATTTTTATATATAAAATTTGCAAAAACTACCACATTGCCTTATTGTTTTTTAATGTTATTAGGCTCTTGTTTATCCAAATTTTCCGATAATAAAGTTAAATATACAATTTGGATGTTACTTGTTGTTGCAGAAGTTTTTTTAAATTATGGCTCACTATTATAAAATCACATAACGCTGTTTGAAAAAAAAAAATTCAACAAACTTTCGTACAAATTTCGAATTTTTAAAAATTCAAAAAAAAAATCAATCGACATTTTTAGCCGTTTGAAACGTGTACTTTATTCTATTAGCATTCAATGGGCTACAAAACTGCATACTCAGAATTTAATTAAAAAGCTCGAAATTTTAACGAAAATTTGTAGATTTTTTTTTTAATTGCATAAATTTGTAAGGCAGTGTACATTTGTACAGATTTGTAAATTTTTATATTGGGCTATTGGTAAAAAAAGTGTGAAATTTTTTTTTTGCATTCAAAAGATTGGTACAATACAGCGATGTTCTATTGAAAAATTTCAATAAATTAATTTTCGTGATTGGGATAGTGAAAAATATTTTAGGTGTTCAAACAATTGAGAAACGATTTACGCCAAATTTTAGCAAATACCCAATCGTGTGACACTGCCTTCAAACTTGTATTTATACGGATGTTGGTAAAGAACGAACTAAAGAAAACTAACCGAAATTAAATAACAACAAAAATAATATTTTGAAACTTGTCGAAATTTGGCGCGGATATAATCTTTTCGACTACTGTAAATAAGTTGGCTATGATTACTCGGACATGCTACCATAGTAGCACAATGCTACTCATATTTGACTTGCAAACAAACTACGGGCAGGAATTTCAAAATTTGAAATAAAAATGTTGAAATAAAAGAGAAACTAAAAAAAAATCGTATATAAAAATTTGAGAAAAAAACATGTAAAAGGAAAAAATAACTTCTTATTAAAAAAAAAGTAAAATTAACAAAGAAATTACCAACTGATTTTTAAGAATTTGGTATCATTGTAAAGGGGATTAAACTTTCTTTCTTCCGGTGTGCATATTTTTATACTTCGTGAATAAAAATTTGAGAAAAACCACTTGAAATCAAAAAATAAATTTTTTATAAAAAATAATATTTTAAACAAAAAAATTACTAACCGATTTTTAAAAAGTTGGTATCGTTGTAAACGTGATTAGACCCCCTGCTTCTCTTCTGATATGCTTATTTGTATACTTTGTATGTACAAATTTAAGCAAAAACATTTAAAAGGAAAAAATACCGTTTGTTTTATTAAAAAAAAAATATTTTAAACAAACAAATTACTAACCGATTTTTAAAAAATTGATATCGTTGTTAAAGCAATCAAATCTTATTTCTTTTGATACGCATATTTGAATACTTCGTATATAAAAATTTGAGAAAAAACACTTGAAATAAAAAAATACCTATATTTTATAAAGAAAAATATTTTAAACAAAAAAATTACGAACCGATTTTTAAAAATTGGTATCGTTGTAAAGGCCACCAGAAAACTTATACTTTTTTTAACCCGAAAATTTCGTTTTATATACACAAAAAAAATATAATTCAAAACATTTTTTCCTCTATATAAACTCCTGCCCCCTAGATGAAAGGCTGGCTACGCTCTTGTATACAAAACAATTAAAGTGTTTCAACCGTAGGTATATCATACGTTCAGTTTTTCTTTTAGAGCGCATACATGGTTCCATATTAATGATTCCAGTATCTTCATTTATGTATATTGTAAATATCAATATCTTATAAAGAGAAGTGTAAATTTTTTTTATCTAAAACTAATAAAGTTAGAAGGACGAAATTTGAGGATGTGGTAGTTAACATATTAGTCCTTAACATGTATTGCTTTTTTTTCAAAAATAAATACTGGAAATTTCCAAGGATATTCAAGTATAAAGTTTTTAACCCTCGTCCGTGCGACTAGGTACAATTGTAACTTTTGCGTTTTTAAATTACAATAACTTTTTTTCCAGAAAACTTAGAGGGCTGGATCTTCGTGACATCTCTACATTTTTGTTGTGCCACATGTTCCCTTAATTTAAAACAAAATGGGCCACTATTTTCTGAAATAGAGGGCCTAGTTAAATTTACACCCACGTCAGAGCGCATAGGTACAATTGTACCTTCATATATCTGGTATGAAGAAAAAAGAAGATTATTATTATTTTTAATTATATATAATTTTTTTTATAAAAAAAAAAGAAGCACAAACGGAGCTAATTCATATAAGAAGCGATAATAAACTATATAAAAAAGTAACAAGCGAGACAATTCAATTTAGGAACAACGATTTAGAATATACATTTTGAAATTTTTAGAGAGTTTCTTCGCAAGAAATACACGTTGTTTTTGAAACTGAATGTTCATCACAAATTGGATAAGCACAAGATATGCAAAGCATTCGAGTTTTGCGTTGTTTCCTATTTGAGTTCCGACAGATATAGCAACGTCCAGTGATAGGGGAGGCTCCGCGGCTACCATGAGGTAATTGAAGGACAGCTGCTGTAGATGCCACAACGCGACGGCCAAGTACCATTTCTATCGCACTTCGAAGGAAATGGATTCTCATCATCATTCGATTTGCACTTCGAGATTCGACTGAAGGCATGCATAGCTGATTCGAGAGATATTTTAGAAACTTTCGACGTTGATTTTTTCCCTGAAACCGGGGGTTATGATTTTTGTAGAGCAAATATAAACTGAACCAAATAAACATCGTATTATTTTTGTTCCGGTCAGGGCTGCCAACTATCCTTAGCTATTTGGTGCCATATTAAGGATAAAAAAGTGCCAAAATGTGCCAAATAGAAAAATAAAAGTGCCAAAAAAGGTGCTATCCTTTATAACGTTTCCCATGTAGCTAAAAAGAACCACATTTCTAAAACAAAAGTGCAATGCCAAAATAAAATGAACCAGTTTAATAACCTTTAGAAATTAGAAAATTTTCACAAAAATATTTTGAAATATTGCTATTTTTCAAAAGTGCCATTTTGGCACTTTGTGCCAAATTGAAAAAATTAAGTGACATTTGATGTAAAATATTGCCAAAAATGGCACGGTTTGAGCCAATTTGGCAGCCCTAGTTGCAGTGTATATGGCACACCAGTATGAAAAATATTGAGTACATACATATGTATGTATGGAGGGTACATATTGTTGTGGTGTACTCGAGCATTTTGCGGAGTGCATTTTATGCAGGCTACTGTGTTTCTATTTTTACTTTTTTTTAAACAATTGTCATAACAAAAAATTTCTAAACATGTTCAAAATAACCTGTAATGATTAAATGTTATCAGTTTTTATAAAAAACTTAAATCCCCAGTAAAAATTCATATCAAAACTATATGAAGGTACAATTGTACCTTTGCGCTCGGTTAGCGTTGTAAGAATCTGCGCCCGGACGAGGGTTAAAGGACATTTTCAATATATATTCGTCCTGGAGCACCCTAATATCAAATTTTGTTTTTTTTATTCTACAGGAGTTTTCCTTTTAATTAATGTTCATATTGTTATTCCACGCATTTGTTATGCACCGCATCTTTTGAATAATTTTTTTATTCAATCACATTTTCTATCAATATCTATGTTTTATATCAATCTAGAAATGTCATTGTCCTTTCAAAAAAATCCTGACATCAGAGAGAAAAACTAAAAACGCAGTTTTACTATATTTGGCGCCCAGTTTTGTAAATATATTGATTTTTTCGTGTGTAAAAGTGAATTCGCACTGAGTTATACTTCTAGTCCTTATACTTGGTAAAGTTCCTCTCGAAATAAATCTGGCTTTCGGGCGGGCGTAGAACTGTAGTTCTCTCCATTTGTAGCAAAGAAATTGGAGTAACTAGAAGCTGCTAGGCCAAACGCTTAACAAAAGTATAAGTGCCAAATATATATATATTTTTTAAATATATTATATTATATATTGTAGGCTATAACAAATATAATTTCACTTAAAGTATACAACACTCTCTCCTAAATGATACCACGAAAGCTGGAATTCGTTTTCTAAGCTCAAGCTAAAAATTAGAAATAAATAAGTAAATAAACTTGCAGTCGCTTAGGCAGAGATCCTTTTTTTTTGAAATCAAAGTATAAGTATTATATATGTACATAAATATACATCATAAAAATAATAAACAACAGCAACATTAGAGTGGTCCAAAATTTTTTCTTTTCCGAGATAGCATTTGAGGTACCTTTAAAAATTTTTCCTCTTGCCGAAAGAGGTGCTGGTACCAAACTTTTCTTTTCCATATAGAGGATGCTCATATTTTACTCTAGAAGTATTGTGTACACATATTAATAAAAAAATTGGTTAAGTAACATAAGAATATTTCAAATTTAAATTATCTAAAATAATACCACAAGCTTCAATTATAACAGCAACAGTCGGTTTTTATAAAGATCATCAATATTTTTGCCAGCTTCATAGCGACCCAGTAGCGCATTTCAAGGTCATTCACCGCCCTGTATTGATTGCAGTAGAAAACTGAAAGTTGGTTTATGTAGATGTTACAAATATCAAAAGGAAAAACTAAGGGGTGCCCGTTTTCTAGGCTGAAAACCTTTTTCCCCCATACACAAATTTTACCACTCTAATATACATGCACGTGCAATACGTATTGTACAAGAATTATTTTAGTACTACACATTTTTTGCGAAAACTTTAATTTGTTTTGAGCAAAAATAACACATAATAAAATAAATAAAAGCTTAGGCATCCGAATTAGCCATTAAAACACCACAGAGAAACTAAAACTCAAGACGTTGACATTTGAGCTCAGAGTAGGCTCGCTACAGAAGTGCCCACCGCTGCTCAACATGGCCTATTTTTTGTAAGTGCTTGTCTTTCTGCTTGAGTCGAGTGTTAGTGTTATTTCATGCTGGAATGCAAGGGAATGGCTTTGCACGTAGATATTCGTAAGTATATTTGTGCATGTACACATTTGTGCTTGCATATGAAGACTGATCTAACTTATAACGGGTGATTTTTTAAGAGCTTGATACCTTTTTTTTAAAAAAAACGCATAAAATTTGCAAAATCTCATCGGTTCT